TCCTGGGAACAACATGCTGACTACACACACACCAGTCCACACACACACACCAGTCCACACACACACACACACACCGGTCTAAAGCTGAGAGTAAATATAAATACACACACACACACCAGTCTAAAGCTGAGAGTAAATATAAACAACACAGGACAATGTTAGAGACAACGTTCAGACGTTCAGAGTTTTTATGAACACACACACACACACACACACACACACACACATCAACAGAAACAGAGCAGGAAATACCTGAGAATGTGTGTATATGTGTGTATGTGTGTGTGTGTGTGTGTTGCCCCAGGTATACTGGGCTCCTGTTACACTGAAGCTTCCTTTCCCAGGTGAAAACTGGGGGCGGAAAGTTGGTGTAAAATCTCACTGCTTCAGGAGGAAACAAAAAAAAAACACTTAAAGAGTTGATGTTCAGGAAGGTTGCTCAATCGCTGGGTCATGACCTAAGTGAGTCAGTCTTAGGTATGAAGCCAAACTTCTTCACCTTTGACCTTTGTTACACACAGTCCAATAATACCTGTTCTTCACTCACAGCTGTTTTCCTTCAGATGTTAAAAAATAACTCTGATCATTTCAACTTTATCGATCCCACACCAACAGGCTGCCCCCTGGAGGCGCCAAGTATGTGATTCCTACGGGAAGCGAACACAACCACGCACACACACACACAATTTAATTCAATTCATCTCATCGGTTTCTACATCGACAGGAAGTGATGTAACAACAGAAAGTCTGTTTCTCCACACAGTGAGACAGACCTAACGAGTGTCCACATAAACAGATGGAAGAACAGGTACATACATCAGAGTAACAGCAAACACACACACACAATGCAGAAAGACCCCCCCCACTACAGTGTGAACTGTTCCTTCTCTGAACCGTCTGCTCTGGAGCTGCCAGGACACTGGAGTCAGGTGGTCCAATAAAAGTGGAGGAGCTGCAGGATCTACAGCAGAGGTGGTTTTAACTTTTATAAATCTGAGCAGGTGGAACAGGGGGTGAGGAGGGGTGAGGAGGGGGAGGGGGCGTATGGCAGGACCACTCTGTTTGTCACTGCTTCAGTCCATGACCCAGACTTTGGAGAAAATATGTTGAAACAACATCAGACAGAAGCTGAAAATGAGGGGGAAAAAACCCAACTCACCAACAGAGGGTGAGGCAGAGGGTGAGGCAGAGGGTGAGGCCCCAGGAGCCGAGGGGTAAAGAGGGTAAAACGACACCTCTGTACAACAGCTTGCTCACTTCCTGCAGGATCTGGGTGACTCCAAAACACGGAGCACACAATCCATCACGACTCACACGAGCCAAGGTTGAGCTCAGCTCCAACTGCAGCCCCCCTCTAATGACTGGGGGGGGGGGGGGTGGGG